AAAATGGACCATCCTTGGATTGGCATTAGGGAGGGCTTGCCTGGGAATGGTCTCTAGAAGTCAGCAGTTGGTAGCAAGCATAAGTATATTTTGTGACTGAGTCCTTGTCTTAAATTTGTCTTTGTGATATTCTCTCCCTCACTTGCTATCTCTGTGCCACTCTCTATCCCTTTCTGGTCTCCCTGAGGTTTGTTCTGTCACCTGTCTGTCTCTCTCATCAATCTATCTGTCTCACTGTCTTTTCAACACTGTGCATCACGCTCATTTGTTCTTTCCCATTTGAACAACAACTGGGATTTATAATAGTTGTTCACTTAAAGAGTAACATGTTGAAGCACCCTTAGAGGACAAACACAATCATGACTATTAAAATAGAATAGTGGTCCTTTTACAAAAAGCTTGGTTGTTAAACTTTACAAACAGAGGACAAAGTATTGAGCATGGATCGCTCCATGAAGGTCTAAGAGCAGAATCAATTACTCTTCTGCTTTCCCTCTCATAAAAGAGTTTTATATGAGACCTCTGAAAACTGCAGAATGAAGACATCAGCTTGGCATATTATGGCTAATTTAAATTCAAACTCTCCCAGTGGCAGTCTGAGCAATGGGGCCAGATCCTTTTCACACTTGCACATACCTGTAGTGTGGGAACAAAATCTTTCATATTGCCACGTTTAAACTGCAGCGTTCCCAGCAGTACAAGGGTGTGAAGCAGGAAGCCAGATTTACATTTCTTGCTGTACATTGCTTTGCATCAAGGCTCAAATAAAAAGACCATCCAATTTTGTGCACCACTTCTCTGTGAAAATATATTGGGAAAGGAAGGAGTTACTGTACATTTAAAGGTGAATGCCCTCCATTCATAATAACCCTCACATTTTATATAGCAACAAATCACTTTGAAACGTCTCAAAGGTTTTTATTGCAGGCAATTCCTGTCAAGAATAGTTAGGTATACTGTTGATAAACTTGTACCAGTAAGATCAATTGATTGGAAGTAGTCTTATTGAGTTAAGATAATCAGATTATGTACTCGGTATTGAATTATTGAAATAATAATCAAATTGATATAAACTGCTACTTAACAGTTACCCTACTAAATACATGACAATTGCATACTTGTCCGACAATGAATATTGAATGAAATTGCAGGGCAAGGATTATTTGTAAAGTTTACATGAGTTTTTATACATACATTTAATATATGTACACATTTTATATATATAAAATATATAACATACATATATATATATAATTCAGATGTTTATCCATTATCTATGGTAAGGGATTTTTTTTGTTTTACATTTTGTTTACCTGGGCAGATTTCTAAAAACCTGGAGAATGAGATGATACTGGCAGAAAATCTTTCACAAACCTATTACAATCTTGTCACTCTATTGCTCTAACAGATCACACGGTAGCTTTTGCAACCCTAGATTTTCTTTGGTTTACTGTACATTAAATCAGGTTCCAGCAAAAGAAAATAGTCAAAGCTGTGTAGCAGCACACATTATTTCTTTGATTAATCTCAATTGCTGATTATTTATTTTTACTATGCAACAAACAGTGTAAGTAAATGAATCCAGTAAATAGCTAATGGTGGACTTGTTTTAAAAAGGTAAATAATTAAATATTTACCAAAACAAGAATCTTGTACATTTTAAAAGTTGTACCTTTGATTCGATTCAAAATTTATATTGCTCCATTGCTCTTAATGGGCCATTCAAATATGAAGCGATGGGTTGAATTTCAACTATGCTTCTCACACCCTTTCTTTCCTGTTCAAAGTGTCATATGAAGGAGCGCCATAATTTTCACAAAACATAAGGTGCAGATTAGTGATTTGAAGCAATGGGATTTTACAAAGGGACCTCTGTGTTAGTGTCACAGCTTTAAAATATATATCATGAAGCCAAGGATTTACTCACGCAATAAAAAAAGAAATCAGAGCAGGATTTCCAGGTGTGATATTGTGCTGAACCTCCCATTTATTTAATCAAATTCCCTTGTTCTCCCTTTGGAGCCACAAAAATAAAACAGGAGTATCAAGAACTCTTCTCATAGATGCTAACAAAAGCTACATTCATTCACCAACAAACAGGATTGGAATCATGTACAAAGATGCCTAACTTGGTCAATCTACTGTTTCGTAGCAGTGTTTAGGGATGGTGATTACTCCATTTTCACTCTTGTTTTATGCATGCTTAGCTCTTGTACAAAGAGAACTTTTGTGGAGTTTTGCTTATCAGTAGTATGTTGGTGCTGTCAGGCACAAGACTGATGGGCTTGTTATTCAACATGTGACAGCATGTTTTTAAACTGACAAAGGTGGTTCAAAAATAAAAGTTCCCACTTCCCCTTCCTTCTCCTGCAAAGCATGATTCAATAAGTGCAATGATTTCTATGTTTGCAGGTTAATAATTCTGTAATATATGAAGCATACAGTACTTGGGAGGCTGAATTAAAAGGTTAGAGTATTTCCCTCCACACTTAAAGACAATTGAAACACTTGAATTAAGCAAGTTAAAATTCTGATAAATTTTTTGCAAGCTGCTTTTTATTTTAAAGGTTAATGCCACATAAAAGATGAGAAACTGACAGTAAAAACACATTTTCTTTTTGAATTGGTGGTCGAGGCCGATTCGATAACTACTTTTAAAAACACGGTGGACGGGTATTTGGGGAGGACGGGTTTGCAGGGTTATGGGGAAAAGGCTGGGGATTGGGATTGACATTAATTTCTCTTATCAAAGAGCCGGCACAAACTCAATGGGCCGAACGGCCTCTTTTCGTGCTGTACGATTCTGTGATTCTATGGTTCGCTACTGCACAAACTATAATTTGGGTTAAAATCAGAAATTCTTAAAATCCACTTTGTGCTTTGATTAAGAAAAATCTTTTATAAAGTGACATTTCAAGTTGGGTCTCTGAATTAAATTGATTTATGCCTGCCTGTTTCACCAATACAATACTGCACTTTATGCGCTGCAAGTGATAGTTCAGTAGCTGGATGTGATTTCAATGTCACAATCAATTTCAATTCAACTGTTAATTTAATTGTACAGTTGTGCAAGACAATCTCACTCTACATCTGTTTGAAATCTTAAAAGGCTCAGAATGACCTCACAAAGGAGAATGGGGAGGCAGCTTCAAAAAAATAACTCGGATAACCGCAGGTGTTTTCATATACATAACATCTACTGAAGACAATCACAGATAACAGAAATCAGATGCTGCAGTAAATTTCCAAAAAACAGGAGGTTGAATATTTCAAAAAAAAACGAATCTATCGAATTTGTTAATTTTTTCCAGTTGAATGTCGACAAGACCGAGGCCCTCCTACTTGGCTCCTGTCAGCACCTCCTCACCTCAGGCGTTGACAGCATCACTATTCATTACATACAGGCTTGACTATGCTAATTCCCAGCTCCCTGGACTTCCCAATTCTTCCCTCCACAAGCAGCAACTTATTCAGAACTGTGCAGCTTGTGTCCTCTCCCACACTAAGCTCCGTGAGTGCTTTTCAAACCCTTCACTATCCAGTCCCTTAGGAGTTCCTCCTAATGTGAAAGCTGCTGTATAAATTTTTTGTTAATGATGTCCCACAGATAGTGAGTTCACAGTATCAGAAGCAGGTAATGAACAGGTGAGGTATCTCAGCGCAAAGCAGAATCATGTGTGAGAGAGAGGAAAAACGATGAGAGAGAGAGAGAGAGAGGGAGGAAGGAGAGACACATGCATAGATAAAGGCGACATTGGCAGAAGCCTGGGAACAGTCATCTATCCTCTTTAAACTAGAGGATGGTGCACTGTATCCACTACTTATTTTATGATATTGTACTAAATTCTAATGGCACATACCACAAAAGGAAACTAAGTGAGAAACATTTTGGACATAGTGAGGATGACGAATAGTAAAACACTTACATACTGGTCTTATGTCTGTGCCACTGATCTAGTTAACAACTTAAAAAACTTTGCAACTTTAAATTATAAGGATTTTGATGGAGATTGGAATCTCACATTGTTGCTGATCATATTAACAATTATGTGAGATTACAAATAAGTATGTAACTGTTCCCAGGCCACAATAAACAAAACAGTGAAGCAAAATCACAAACGTTTACGGGAAGTATCCAACCTGCTGTTGTTGAGGATAACATTCCCATCTACTGTTAACATTTAAACATTTAAAAAATTGGCAGCAAAATGTACTTTGCTTTGGTAATGTTTAAAAGCGTTGGAGACAATGAACATTATTTTCAAAAGGATTGTTAAATCTCAGCACGCCCTCAAACAGCCAATCCTTCTGATCTCTGGAGCCATCCAGGACCACTGTAATGAAAGTCATCTTTAACCCTGTACCAGGCAATGTTGTGAAACAGGGACAGGGAGGGGAGTCTGTAAATGCAATTCTCTGATCTGACTCGGTTTCAAATTGGTCAATGACATATACAGTGTTCCTAATCTTCTGTATATTTTTTTAAAAATATTAAAAATCAGAGTTCGTCTTAAATGAGTCGCACTGTGGCATGAATCTACAAATATCTACAAATAATAATTGCATTTGATATAGCGCCTTATTACGTCTTCGAGACATCTCAAGCACTTCACAGAATATACTGTAAAGTGAATTCACTGTATATTTTCTGGGCAAAATTCATGACCCAGGAGAATTTTTGATTATTTGGCCAGTTCTACAGAATGCGCAAAGTTCTGCAAAACAACCTTCATGTTAAAGGTTAATGAAATAGAGCAGACCTGAGAAAATACAGTTAATATAATTAACAATAATGTGAGATTTCAATCTCCATAAAAATCCTTATAATTGTAAAGTAGCAAAGTTTTTGAGCTATTGACTAAATTTAATGGCACAGGCATGTTAACACGAGTTAGCAGTTTTCTTAATCACCAGCTACATTATGTCTAAATTGTTTTTCCTTTAATTTCCTTTTGTGGTATATGCCATTACAACTTAGTATAACATCACTAAACAAGTACTGGATGAATGCAGAGTAAGAATCCTCAGTAGCTCACTTCTATTTTAGTCCAGGGAGTCAAGCATTTAAACTAGGTTCAGTGATGGCCTCATGCTTGGTATTATTTCTCCTTCCCAATGGTATTTGCAAATGCTCTGAAAGAAAACTCAGTCATTAATTTTAAACAGTGCGAGGATACCAATGACGTAAAAGATAGTAAGAAATGCCTTCAGTCTTTTAGTGGAAAGAAAACAAATTTAGACATCACTGTACAGAAACCAAACCTACTGATCAACTTCAATTGCTTGTTGAGGATTTTAGATCACTTTACACCAAACTAATTACTGACTGACACAGCTGCACATAACCCGATATCGATGTTGTCACACATTGGTAACATGCTCAGTGCAATATGTGTCAGGATGTAAAAAATAAATCTTATTGCTCGGCAGGCCGGGACAATTTCAAATACCTGGCAATTTAGGGCGCTTTCAGAAATGGGTTTCATGCAACCTGATCTGAACCTTTTCTGAATCAGCTGTGTATGTCTCAAGTATTGTAATAAGCACTTCTCTCATCTGTGGAACTCTTCCCCCAGACGATGCTGTTGCCTGGAACATTTTCTCCCATTAAACAGAAGTTCTAATGCAAGGGTAGCCATCAACTACTGAACCATGTTCTTTGGACCATGACAGTGAACAATGCTTACAAATTCCTCTGACATTTCTTTTTCAGTCTCCTTGTTGCATTTACGTTTGTAGCTTCTTCTACTTTTGATTTAATCTTATTCCTTTCTATTCTTCCTCTTCTGTGGTTTGTTTCTTAGTTACTCACACATTTGCTTGTTGATTCCTTTAAAGAGAAAGTCAAGAATTTATTGAACTGCCCTACAATCTTAAATCCATCTTCCACTCAGCAGTGTCTCTCAGTCTCATTGCTATCTTTTAAATCTGATAATTTAAAACTGTTAGCTAAAGGGAAACTTGAAGATGCTTTGTGTACACCTCCACTCTCATAATCAAATTCTGGTTCTAACATCTTTTCTGCCCACGTTCACATTGTCCCATTGTGAACAGAGGGATTTGGAAACATGATGCCTGCCTCCTCCTAGATGATTCCAGTCTGAAAGAAGGAGGAAGAGAAGTGATTGGAAGGGAAAAGGAATAGAATTATTTATTCGTTGAAAAATACAGATGAACAGACGATTTATAGAACAGAAATTAAATGTGGTAAAGATAAGATAAAAGGGAAGATAAATATAAGAACTGGCTTATCTGAAAACCTTTGGAGAACTCAATTTTATTTCCAAATTGTAAATCATTACACCCATTTGAAAATGCATAAAGGAATGAAAGCAATTACCATTATAATGTCGTTTGAGGTTTCCGTTCATTGTTTGAGTGATTTATTTAGATGATTGTTATCCAAATCAATTTTGTGCTTATCTTTAGATATCTGCCTGATAAAAAGTTTTTAATGATGCCTTTCTTTGAGCTGTGGTTTCTGCAGTACTCCAGACGTACTGCAGCATTTATATATCAAGATTTCTATTGTGTTGTGCGGCTTGAAGATTTGCTACAAAATACAATTGGAATCAAATTTCATAATTATTTGAACTCAAATGCGTTTTCGCTGAAATGAAAAGGCAACAATGCCAAGTCATATTTCATTAGCATTTACTGTCTATCTCACAGGACTGATCATGTCCCACATTTAGCACAGACACCAATATTAAAAAGGATGCAGTAAAGGTAAATCATTCTTTAACTGAAGCCACAAAAGGCAAAATATTGCAGATGCTGAAAATCTGAAATAAAAGCAGAAGTCTCTGGGAACATTCAGTAGGTCAGGAACACTCAGCGGAAAGTTCTGATGAAAGGTCATCGACCTGAAACGTTAACTCACTTTCTCTCTCCATAGATGCTGCCTGACCTGCTGAGTGTTCCCAGCGACTTCAGTTTTTATTTTTGTTTAACGTGAAGCCACACTGTGTTGGGCTAACTTGTACCAAATTAGGTCAAAAGACACTAAGAATGAACATTTCTATTGATGATCGCTATTTATATGTCCTTTTATTTTGTTACCGATTATTATGTGTAAAAACAAACTTAAATCTTGTATTTCAGTTCAATGTGGCTACACAAGTTAAGATGAAAAATTCTACAATCCCTGACATAAGAGATTATCAACATACTGTATTCTTTGATAAATGCCTTGTTGAAACTTTCCTACATCCTCACTACTCTATAACTCTTTTTTAAAAAAATTGGGCTGAACATGACATCTACAATGCTACATTTAGCTTATACCCCATTTTATATTACTGGGTTGTCTCCAATGCAACCTTGTGTTCTGGGCCTATAAACTAAACAAGGTGGTATACCTGCTTCAAGAGGTGCTCATTGCCACCTTCTAAAGACAACAGCAATCAGTATAGGAGGTGCCATAAGGTTGGATCCCAACCCCCAGCTCAGGTGCAAACTTTTAACTGTTCAGGGCCTTGGGATGTCCTTCCGACATTCACTTATATAGTGAAAGGTGCTATATAAATGTGGTTTTTGTTGTTTTCTACCCTGAGCAGACCAGCAATGAGGTTTTACAGCCAGAAGAGGAGTCATCATTGACAATAATAATCCTTGTATTTGATACAGCACCTTATTATGTCTTTGCAATGTCTCAAAGCGCTTCACAGAATTTACTGTAAAATTAATTGATTGTATATTTTGGGGGCAAAATGCAGCAGCCAATTGTACACAGTAGTGTCCCAAAACAGTAGTGGATTGAGTGAGCAAATTATTATTATTTAAAAATATATATTTTTAAGGGATTATAACAACAAATTGCATATTACTTCCGCATATTACACCCCACGAAAAAAATTTGCCAATCAACTAACAACCGGATTCCTACTTACTGCCAGGTAAACAGACGCATATGGAGTAAAGAAACTTGTCTAATACTTTGCCCTGCCCGGGATTCGACACAGGTCCTCTTGCTTGCAAGGCGAGTGCTCTAACCAATATGCTATAGGACTCCAAAAATAGTGCTTTTCAGCAACAGGCCTTCCAACAACTGCTCTCCTGCTTTCATTCGTCACCTGTAATGAAAAATTATCAAACAACCTTAAGGCACGCTTTGGGCCATCAGATTCTTCTTCTGCCAACAGTAGTTGCTTGTATTCCCAATAGCTGAAAATTCTGCGGCAATATCTCTTTCATTCCACAAGTGAAAGGAATCTTTTGAAACAATTTCCCCCAATCTCTGGGGAAATAATGATAATGGAAATGGCCAAGAGCAAAATCAGCTGAAATGACACTCATTGCATGTGCAATGTGTGTAAGAAAAAAGAGACCCCAGGCTTTAAATGAAAAAAGCAAGGCAAGCACTTGGAGCAATCCTTAAGGATCAGCATTAACCTTCAATATCACTCATAGTGCAAACGAAAAGCGGCATTAGAAACTACAAATGCACAAATTCTCCATGTGCTTTTAGTTCCATGGTGCATGGAATTATATCCTGCAAAGCAAACGGGAGATTCCAGACACCAGCAGCCTCAGGCTATTTGAGAACTGGCTCTGTTTCAACCAATTCTCAAGTAGTCCATAATAAATACAGCATTAAATTACAACACCATTACCTTGTAAATTAGTACCACTATTCAATTACTACATTAGCAAGGTGTGAGACAGCTAGGTGTTAAATGGCCACAAATCAATCTAATGAGTAGCTATTTCAGTTTAAGGAGCAGAGAACAATGTAGATTTGCTGAATGTTTCATGTTGATTCAAATCAGATCAGAAAGCAAGATTTACAGATAACAATAATAATAATCCTTGTATTTGATACATCACCTTTTACATCTCATCCAAAGGACAGCACTGTATTTGAGGGTCAGCCCAGACTATGGGGGCAAAAAGGCAATCTCGCTCTTACCATCCTTTATACTCAAATTCTGATAACATAACATTACTAGTGCAAGGCAATGTCAGAATAAACAAGAGAATAAAGAAAAATAAACCAAGAGGTGCTTTGTATCAGCACCAGAGCCAGTAACTGTTTCAGGTTGGTCTGTCTAGCCTACCCATGCAACTTTCCAAAAGATTCCTTTAACACATCTTATCACATCATCTAATAACCTTGAATCTTTATATTTTCAGGAACTCATCCAATTCCTTTTTATTAAACACTTTAAAGGTTCCTTGTTCCAACAACCTACACATTTGTACAATATTGCCTAATCCGTTCAAAGTTCCAGCTCATATATAGTTTGAAAACATTCACTGCTGCCGTACTTACTGTGCAACTATCTCAAACACCTGCAGCAATATAAAGAACATCAGGTTAGCTTTTAGCTCAAAAATAATCTTATCTGGAAGCCCCATTGCCCTCAGCAATATAATATTTGCACTTAAATAAATAAGACCAAGATGCTCAAACAAATGATAAGGCTAATTAATCATCTGCTATGATTACCGCAATTTACCTACTGAAGTTTGACTCGGCAAATACACTGGTTTACTCAATGGTAACAATGGTTCTGTAACTATCAGTGCACTAGAATTATCAAATTTGCAGTTTTGGAGGAGGTTTTTCATCTTAAACTGTTGCTAGCTCATCCACTGGAGCTAATTACTCTCATCCTAATATGCCAGGCAAAGAAAAGTGCTAACACTTCCAGCCAGAAATAGAAAGGTTTTTCGTGTATAATATTATACACGATCTCCAGCCTTTTGTAATATTCTTACTACGGCAAAATAATAAAATTACTGAAAGTACCATCTCCAAAATACAACAGTGAGCATGAAGATATAGACCGAGAACAGTGAAAGCAGTTCTCTGATGGTTAATGGACATGTACATGTTGGATATACATACAATTTAGTGGTGCAGTGATGATGAATATGCCTCAAAACAAAAACAGAGAGCTGGGAAAACTCAGCAGGTCAGGCAGCATCTATGAAGAAAGGAAAGTGGGTCAATGTTTCGGGTCCACGACCCTTCGTCAGAAATGATATATTTCAACATAGTTCAAAATATTATTTCAAGAAGCCATGTTTCTGTAAAAAAAACAAGATAAAAGTCCCATTTTAAAACAGTCTGAAACTGTTGATGCTCAATTTGCAAGTCACCAGATGCATAAAATAAAATGTATTTGGTTTTACGGTTTGATTTTAAAATCTTGAAATATGATGTGGCAAGCTGAAAAAGATCTAGGGTATTGACTGACTTGTCACTCACTATGTCAAAAAATGTGAGCCAGTATGAAGAAGGCAAACAGGATGCTGGGCTATTTTGCTAAATCAGTTGAAGGGTCATCCCCGGATGTCAAATGCAGGCTGTGTGTACTCTAGTCAAACTGCATCTTGAGCACTGCATACAGTTCTAATCACCTTGATATAAGGGGGTTGCCCAGACCTTAGAAGCAGTGCAGAGAAGAGCAATGAGGATGATTCCTAGGGTAAAGCGTTAAAGAGCTATGAGCAACAATTAAACAAGTTAGAGCTCTTTAGTCTTGAGAGTAAACAACTCTGAGGAGATCTCAGAGGTATAATAACATTTTAAATGGAATTAAAAAAGTAAACACAAATCAATACTTAAGGATGCACCAAGGCAGCAGAACAAGAAAGCACAGTTTAGAGATTTAAAGAGCAATTGCAGGAAGTTTTTCTTCACTCAGGGGGTAATTAATGATTGGAACACATTGCTAGGAAAGGTGGTTGAGTCCAGGACACTGGACTCATTTAAAATCAGCTTTCTGGAGGGGAAGGGGGTACTGAGGGTGGGTGATCTGGAAAGATGAGATCAGATGGGCTGAACGGCTTTCTTCATCCAAATCAAACTTGAGATCCTGGAAAGTGTAATTTGCTAGGGGCGCAAAACAATTTGTAACTAGTGAAACCTGAAGTACTTTGATACGTCGGTGCCAGTTACAAATCCTTTAAGATTAGACTCCATTAACAAAGTTAATGTTAGTATGCGAAAATTGAAAATAAACAAACAGTTGCATTCCTTTTTATAAGCTACCCTGCTCACACTGCTCCACATGAAGGGAGCTAAAAAATGCAAGTTGTTGTAAGTACTTCCTCATTCCTACTATAGTTCTCAGATTGACAAAAGGCTCATACACAAAAAATGTAAGGTGCTGAGGCAAACTAGGGGTTAAATCTTATAAATTGTATATGTGTAATTGGAAACCCATTAGCCTAGCAATTACACACGTTTCTTTGGTGAGAGTTAATACAGTATGTGGCATGAACAAACCAGGGAGCAGTGGAGGCGGGTTGTGTCAGTAAATTCAAAAGGGATCACATTGCTATTTGGCAAAGAGATCTATTGGGTGTATGAGATGGATTAGTGTAGAATTTTTACTTTGGGACTAGCCAGATTGACCTTAATGGTCCTTATAGGTTCTATGCATTTCTGTTCTCACTAACTGAAGTACATTCTTCAACTCCACTTAATCCAACATGTTCACCAAAAATTTGTATGGTCTAATACTTCAATTCCATCAGCCTTTTAACTATTTGTCAATACTGTCTAGCCAACCAAGGTGGGGATGGGAGCCAAGGGGGTGGGATGGGGAAAAATGACAGAAAAAGTGGTCAAAGAGGGGCTCTTGAGATGGGTCTTGGAGAAGGTGAGGAAGGAAGCGAGTCGGAGGGACTCCAGGGTAGAGTTCTAGAGGTAAGATTATAAACCCAAATATATTGTTTTCTCCCTGGAATACTGCAAGCAGTATATATAGGACTAATGTACTGCGTGGAGAATCCATAGAACTGAGCACACATATGCTTTATATCTAAAAATACACAAGGTTATTTCCTTACACAAGGTTGTTTCGCCCACAAAATATACAGTCAATTCACTTTACAGTATATTCTGTGAAGCACTTTGGGGTGTCTCAAAAATGTGATAAGGCGCTATATCAAATGCAAGGATTACTAAAAGTTAGTCATTTCCTTAGTTTAAAAGATCAATTTATTAATTTGAATTCAATTTTAAGAATATTATCAACAGAGTAATTTCAGCACAACTGCATGGAGATACAAATAGAAACATACTAAATCAGATTTGTGAGCTTATAAACTACCAGGTTTTATTGATCGATTTAAAGCAATACTATTCAGATGATGTAAATTAATTAATTATTTCGCAAGTTTCAGAATTTAATTCCCAATGGGATTCACCAACAAATGTATCTTGGATAGAATACAAAAAACGTACAATTGCCTGTCATATTCATTACTGTTAACTCCGAACTACAGAACAATGAGCTTCCCTAGAGATGTAGTGTAAAAGTTGCCTTCTTTATTCTTTTCCAGACAAGTACTTTATTCCCTCACATAAAGCCCAAATGGCTGAGACCCGTTGCCATTTACAGTACCCAATAATTCACTTTCCTATACATTTCACTTACTTTGATATCCAGAAGCTCAGGCAACCGTGACTTGCATTACATTTAGACATGACTAAAACGCCTGGAATGTCTGTGGTCACTTTGGCCTGTACAGTACTAATACAGTCTATTCTCGGCTCCTATGGTTATAAAAGTAGAAAGTCTCTTTTAGGCGGTCATCTAGATGCTCAAAGGGTAGTTTATGTAAAGCACTAGGTTAACCAACATCTGTTATTTGGAATAAGGCACTTTTCATAGTAAAAGCCCTGGATACAAAAATAGCGCACTCTCATTTCCTTTTCTCTTTCCCGTATCTTTATTCCCAAAGACAAAAAAAAGTAAAAACTTTCTCAAAACTATACTGCAGTAATTAATACACATAACAAAAAAAGGAAATACTAGATATGTATTTATAAACTACTGCATCGTGTGATTACTCTTCTTTATTTTATTTCCCCCTCCCAACCTCGCTGAACCCGAATATTCCTGTAATTCTTACCAAGAGCTCAGATAATCCTTTTTTGGCTTCCGTAACTAGCGGATA